GAGCATCTTCGCGAGCAGGCTGGCTAACCTAGTGAGGAGGGCTTTAAACTAGGTTCACCGGGGGAAGGAGACCAAAGCCCTGAGGTAAGTGGGAAAGCGGGATACCGGGAGGAAGCACAGGCAGGAATGTCTGTGAGGGGAGGGCTCCTGCCTCATACTGGGAATGAGGGGCGATCAACAGGTTATCTCAAGTGCTTATATACAAATGCACAAAGCCTTGGAAACAAGCAGGGAAAACTGGAGGTCCTGGTGATGTCAAAGAACTATGACGTGATCGGAATAACAGAGACTTGGTGGGATAACTCACATGACTGGAGTACTGTCATGGATGGTTATAAACTGTTCAGGCAGGGCAGAAAAGGTGGGGGAGTAGCACTGTATGTAAGGGAGCAGTATGACTGCTCAGAGCTCTGGTACGAAACTGCAGAAAAACCTGAGTGTCTCTGGATTAAGTTTAGAAGTGTGTGCAACAAGAGTGATGTAGTGGTGGGAGTCTGCTATAGACCACCGGACCAGGGGGATGAGGTAGATGAGGCTTTCTTCCGGCAGCTCACGGAAGCTACTGGATCGCATGCCCTGATTCTCATGGGTGACTTTAATTTTCCTGATATCTGCTGGGAGAGCAATACAGCGGTGCATAGACAATCCAGGAAGTTTTTGGAAAGCGTAGGGGACAATTTCCTGGCGCAAGTGCTAGAGGAGCCAACTAGGGGGGCGCTTTTCTTGACCTGCTGCTCACAAACCGGGTAGAATTAGTGGGGGAAGCAAAAGTGGATGGGAATCTGGGAGGCAGTGACCATGAGTTGGTTGAGTTCAGGATCCTGACACAGGGAAGAAAGGTAAGCAGCACGATACGGACCCTGGACTTCAGGAAAGCAGACTTCGACTCCCTCAGGGAACGGATGGCCAGGATCCCCTGGGGGACTAACTTGAAGGGGAAAGGAGTCCAGGAGAGCTGGCTGTATTTCAAGGAATCCCTGTTGAGGTCACAGGGACAAACCATCCCAATGAGTCGAAAGAATAGTAAATATGGCAGGCGACCAGCTTGGCTTAATGGTGAAATCTTAGCGGATCTTAAACATAAAAAAGAAGCTTACAAGAAGTGGAAGGTTGGACATATGACCAGGGAAGAGTATAAAAATATTGCTCGGGCATGTAGGAATGTTATCAGGAGGGCCAAATCGCACCTGGAGCTGCAGCTAGCCAGAGATGTCAAGAGTAACAAGAAGGGTTTCTTCAGGTATGTTGGCAACAAGAAGAAAGCCAAGGAATGTGTGGGCCCCTTACTGAATGAGGGAGGCAAACTAGTGACAGAGGATGTGGAAAAAGCTAATGTACTCAATGCTTTTTTTGCCTCTGTTTTCACTAACAAGGTCAGCTCCCAGACTGCTACGCTGGGCATCACAAAATGGGGAAGAGATGGACAGCCCTCTGTGGAGATAGAGGTGGTTAGGGACTATTTAGAAAAGCTGGACGTGCACAAGTCCATGGGGCCGGACGAGTTGCATCCGAGAGTGCTGAAGGAACTGGCGGCTGTGATTGCAGAGCCATTGGCCATTATCTTTGAAAACTCGTGGCGAACCGGGGAAGTCCCGGATGACTGGAAAAAGGCTAATGTAGTGCCAATCTTTAAAAAAGGGAAGAAGGAGGATCCTGGGAACTACAGGCCAGTCAGCCTCACTTCAGTCCCTGGAAAAATCATGGAGCAGGTCCTCAAAGAATCAATCCTGAAGCACTTGCATGAGAGGAAAGTGATCAGGAACAGCCAGCATGGATTCACCAAGGGAAGGTCATGCCTGACTAATCTAATCGCCTTCTATGATGAGATTACTGGTTCTGTGGATGAAGGGAAAGCAGTGGATGTATTGTTTCTTGACTTTAGCAAAGCTTTTGACACGGTCTCCCACAGTATTCTTGTCAGCAAGTTAAGGAAGTATGGGCTGGATGAATGCACTACAAGGTGGGTAGAAAGCTGGCTAGATTGTCGGGCTCAACGGGTAGTTATCAATGGCTCCATGTCTAGTTGGCAGCCGGTATCAAGTGGAGTGCCCCAAGGGTCGGTCCTGGGGCCGGTTTTGTTCAATATCTTCATAAATGATCTGGAGGATGGTGTGGATTGCACTCTCAGCAAATTTGCGGATGATACTAAACTGGGAGGAGTGGTAGATACGCTGGAGGGGAGGGATAGGATACAGAAGGACCTAGACAAATTGGAGGATTGGGCCAAAAGAAATCTGATGAGGTTCAATAAGGATAAGTGCAGGGTCCTGCACTTAGGACGGAAGAACCCAATGCACAGCTACAGACTAGGGACCGAATGGCTAGGCAGCAGTTCTGCGGAAAAGGACCTAGGGGTGACAGTGGACGAGAAGCTGGATATGAGTCAGCAGTGTGCCCTTGTTGCCAAGAAGGCCAATGGCATTTTGGGATGTATAAGTAGGGGCATAGCCAGCAGATCGAGGGATGTGATCGTTCCCCTCTATTCGACATTGGTGAGGCCTCATCTGGAGTACTGTGTCCAGTTTTGGGCCCCACACTTCAAGAAGGATGTGGATAAATTGGAGAGAGTCCAGCGAAGGGCAACAAAAATGATTAGGGGTCTGGAACACATGAGTTATGAGGAGAGGCTGAGGGAGCTGGGATTGTTTAGCCTGCAGAAGAGAAGAATGAGGGGGATTTGATAGCTGCTTTCAACTACCTGAAAGGGGGTTCCAAAGAGGATGGCTCTAGACTGTTCTCAATGGTATCAGATGACAGAACGAGGAGTAATGGTCTCAAGTTGCAGTGGGGGAGGTTTAGATTGGATATTAGGAAAAACTTTTTCACTAAGAGGGTGGTGAAACACTGGAATGCGTTACCTAGGGAGGTGGTAGAATCTCCTTCCTTAGAGGTTTTTAAGGTCAGGCTTGACAAAGCCCTGGCTGGGATGATTTAACTGGGAATTGGTCCTGCTTCGAGCAGGGGGTTGGACTAGATGACCTTCTGGGGTCCCTTCCAACCCTTATATTCTATGATTCTATGATTCCACTGATGGACAGCAGTAGAAGACGTTAGCTAGCTAGATCTCAGCTCCTCAGAGGGAGGTGATCGGACTGAGGCCTGCATGATGTGGCCTACGCTGCCCCTGCCGTCACGTATCCCCTTGTGTCGCAGTGTTACTGTGGTGACAGGCTCCGACGGCAATAACTCTGAAGGCTTCTGCCTTCACAAGCGGTCCCAGGACTTTCTGAGAAGATCCAGGGGCTGGTCAAACGAGGCAGAAGTCCTGGAAAAACACAAGGCTGCAGCTTTTTCCATGGGAAATGTCAGGAGGCAGGAGAACAGGCTCTTCTAATTAAGAAACCTTCACATTTCAGAGATGCAAAAATAAATACAAGTGCAAAGAAATGGCAGATGCCTGGACCCCACTGGCAGATAGCTGGTTTAGGATTAGATCCCTGGACTCCAAGATCTAGGTTCCCAGGCCCCCACACTCCTTGCTTGCTTCGTTCCCATACCCTTAGTCCCCTCTGCTCCCATCTCCTTTGTTCTCCATCTCTTCTCGGGTTCTTTCTCTGTTCCCAGACTTCTCTCTAACTGCTGAGGGGCCCCTTGCTCTGCTGGCTCCCCCTCCGCTATGGACTCGCAGCTCGCGGAGTGACACCCTAGTTTCTCTATCCAGCTGCTCCTAGTCTCTCCTTGAATTCCCATCTCTCCTGGTCCTTGTTCCTTCTCGCGTGCAGCGTGTGCAGCCCAGTCCTTGCAGGCAGCTCTGCAACAACAAGCCAGGGAAGGAAACAATTTCAGGAAGGAAACAGCTAATTAAAAATCTGGGTGCAGTACTGCAGAAGGTATTGGAAGGGGGAGTTCAGGTAAGGGACCAGGCCAGCATCTTGCAGCTTGGTTGCCTGTAGCAGATAGTTCTCATAAACTTATCTGCTGACTGTGAAGATAAAATTCAGCTCCAGTTTGATCCTGAGAAGCAGTGTAGTCCAGTAGGCAGGGCAAGGGCCTCAGGACTCCTAGTTTCTAGTCCCATGTCTGCCGGTGACCTAGGGCAAGTCCCTTCCCCTCTCTTCCTTGTCTATTTAGCTCTTTGGGGTAAGGGCTATCTCTTGCTATGGGCATTTACAGGACCTTGCACAGGGATGGGCGAACTCCGGCCTGGGGGCTGCATCCAGCCCTCCAGACATTTTAATCTGGCCCTCAAGCTCCTGGCAGTGAGCAGGGTCTGGGGCTTGCCCTTCTCCGGTGCTCCAGCCGGGGAGTGGGGTTGGGGGCTTGCCCCGCTCCATGTACCTCCCGGAAGCAGTGGCATGTCCTGCCTTCGGCTCCTACACATAGGGGCAGCCAGGGGGCTTCACATGCTGCCTCCGCCCCAAGCGCTGCCCCCAAAGCGCCCATTGGCTGGGAACCTAGGCCAATGGGAGCTGCAGGGGCAGCGCCTGCAGACAGGGCAGAGTGCAGAGTCACCTGACTGTGCTTCCACATAGGAGCTGGGGGCGGGACATGCCGTTGGTTCTGGGAGCTGCTTGAGATAAGCACCGCCTGGAGCCTGCACCCCTCCTGCACTCCAACCCCCTGCCCAAGCCCTGATCCCCCTTCTGCCCTCCGAACCCCTCTGTCTCAGCCCAGTGCAACCCCCTGCACCCCCAACCCCTCATCCCCAGGTCCACCCCAGAGCCCACATCCCCAGCTGGAGCCCTCCCCTCTTCTCCCCCCCGCCACCCCTGCCCCAACCTGGAGCCCCCTCCCACATAGTGAACTCCTCATTTCCAGCCCCACCCCTGAGACCGCACCCCCAGCCAGAGCCCTCCCCACCTCCCCATCCTGTGAGCATTCATGGCCCACCATACAATTTCCATACCCAGATGTGGCCCTTTGGCCAAAAAGTTTGCACACCCTGACCTAGCACAATGAGGCTGTGATCTCAATTAGGGCTGCAACAGTAGTGCAAAGACTCATAAGTAATCTGAATATAATCCAGATTGTCCCTTGAGAAGAAAAGGCAGAAGCAACGCTGAGCTTTGAATCAGACTTTATTTCTCTCTATAATGAAAGTAAAACAGCAGTACAAATATGCTTTGGCATGAGAAACGGATAACCTTTGTCTGACGGTGTTTAACTCTCTCCATGTCTAAAGATGAGAAAGACGCTAAGAGAAAACGTCCCAGAGTCATCAAAACCCTGTTCCAAATTCCCCCCAAATGCTCCTTTACGATCGATATTTATATATTTATAGAGATATGATGAATATACCTTCATCTATAATAAATATCTTCTCATATCTAACAGTATGTACATGTCATCAAGTATTAGAAACACATTTTTCATTCATTAAAAGGTGAGACATGGGTTTGGCTCGTGCTTTGAAAATGCTGCTCTGGGAACAGTTGTGTTACATTGTTTGTCACCGCTAACCCAGCTACATCAAGTTATAAAATCACCAGTGTGGGGAATCCGCTGCTTAGTGCGTGTTACCGTGTCCCGCCCTGGAGGTGCCAACAGTTATAAGAGCCTGCTATGGACTCGCAGCTAACGGAGGGGTGCCTTTTGCCCAAGGAGACAGAGCGCTGTGCTTTGGGTGCAGAAGGTCCCGAATATGATCTCCGCTCATGGCTTTGGTGTCTGTGGAGGGATGGAACTCGGGAGACTACCGATTGGGAAGAAGGGGTCAGGGAAGGTGAGAGGGACGAGAGATTTTGCTTTTGCTTTGCAAAACACTTGGCAGGAAAATGAAACCAGACGGCTCTCTACGTGCACCCACGTAGAACGCCCAAATGCTCTGCAGCTGCCTTGCACCGAGCTGGGGGTTGGAGCCCTGGGCACAAACTACTTCTGCCTTATCTCATTGCCCATGGAGCTTCTTATCCGGGCAGATCCTGGGCTCCCCCAGTGACAGTTTTTCAGGTGTTTTGGTGAAAACCAGTCTAGATTTCTTTTCTTTTTTGTTGTTGTTAAAACATTGTGTCCAAAATGTTTCCCTTTTCCCCTCCATAGCTTGAGCTTTGTGTGTGCTCTCCCCGTCCATGTGTGTGTGTGTGTGTGTAAAGCAATAGCTTCCATTTTTTAGGCAAAAAACAATTTCCCCCAGGAAGCCAAGTGCCACTGATCTCCCTCCCCCTCCTTTACCTTTTCCATAAATATGCACCTTTACCGATGAGGGTTTCCACCTCTGCCTGCTGTCCCCCCTCCGACCGCACCCTTATAGTCAGGGTTTATGCAGTACATCAGCCTGTTTGACTGCATCTTGCATTTAAGGGCAAGCTGCATACCAGATTCCAGTGACACAAGATAAGTTCATGGAGGATCAGTGCATCAGTGGCTACAGCTAAGATTGTCTATAGCTATTGTCTATAAGAAAATCTGTAGCTAAGATTGTCAGGGACACAACCCTATGCTCTGGGTTTCCCTAAACCTCTGACTGCCAGAACCTGGGAGCGGACGACAGGTAAATCGCCCTACGTAAAAGGATAAATGGACCCAAAGCAGATATTAGGAACGGCAATGTGACGAAGTGGGACTGTTCTTAATGTTTCCTCCGAATATTGTGGCGGTGCCTCAGTTTCCCCTATGCAGTTCTTAAGTATCTAGGTGGTGGGGTAAGGGGGTATGATCATTGCAGAGCCCTAGAGGGCAGGTATGTGCAGGGGTCTGGACACAGAGAATGGCCGACACCCTGTTTCCTGGCAACTGATGGCCTGGGCCCTTCCCCTCCTGCAAGGTGAAAGCTGAAGGGTTGGAGAACAAAGGAATGAGGTGACCACCTGGCCCAGGAAAGGAACAAAGCCCAGAGGAGGAGGGGCTGGAGGGAGTTTCAGTTTGGGGCTGGCTGGGACATGGAGTAAAGGGCAGACGTGGTTGTCTGGCTCACTGGGCCCAAAATGGACCCGGCTGAGGGGTCCTGTTCTCTGCACCTACAAGCTCTGTGTTAGACCATGTTCCTGTCATCTAATAAACCTCTGTTTTACTGGCTGGCTGAGAGTCACGTCTGACTGCGAAGTTGGGGTGCAGGACCTTCTGGCTTCCTCAGGAGCCCTGCCTGAGCGGACTCGCTGGGGGAAGCACACGGAGGGGCAGAGGAGGCTGAATGCTCCGAGGTCAGACCCAGGAAGGTGGAAGCTGTGTGAGCTGTGTGTCCTGAAGACAGGCTGCTCACAGAAAGGCGACTGCCCCAGAGTCCTGACTGGCTTCACGGGGAGCAGTTCCAGAGCATCGCCCAGGGACTCCGTGACAACTATACAAAAACCTGTAGGAGAACACTTCAACCTCGCTGGACACACACTAGCAGATGTAAAGGGCGCCATCCTACAGCAAAAAGACTTCAGGACCAGACTTCAAAGAGAAACTGCTGAGCTTCAGTTCATTTGCAAATTTGACCCCATCAGCTCAGGATTAAACAAAGACTGTGACTGGCTCGCCAACTACACAAGCTGTTTCTCCTCCCTTGGTGTTCACACCTCCACTGCTAGAAGAGGGCCTCATCCTCCCTGATTGAACTAACCTCGTTATCCCAAGCCTGATTCTTGCCTGCATATTTATACCTGCCTCTGGAAATTTCCACTGCAGGCATCCGACGAAGTGGGTATTCACCCACGAAAGCGCACGCTCCAATACGTCTGTTAGTCTATAAGGTGCCACAGGACTCTTTGCCGCTTTTACAGATCCAGACTAACACGGCGACCCCTCTGATAGACGATCTCTGTTTACCCTAGGGCCAGCCCATACATTCTTACCTACAAGCTGACCTTATCTGCATTTGTTGGGAGCTGCCATGCCCTGGGTCCGAGCCCTGGGTTAGCACGGTTGCAGTATAGACCCAAAGGGGGTTAGCCTGGAGCCAGGGCTCAAGCATGGGCTTACATTGCAGTATAGACATACCCCGAAAGGCCACCCCCATTGCTGGACCAAAACCTGGGATCCTAATAGCCCTGAGATCTGGGTCTGAACTTTATGCTTGAACTCTAAGTTTAGAATGGGCTGAACCAGCCCCTCAGGTCTAAATCCACCCTCAACTCTGGGCACTTCTGGTCCAGCTGTGGACTTGGTATCTCCCCCCCCCCCGCCCCCCGCCTTTTCTCTGCAGCAAGATGCATGGATAATGCATTGGCACAGGGAACACGAAACAGAAGCTTGTTTCCTTTCAGGGTCGTTTCCCTCTCCTTATGGATTGTTATTGCAGGGTTGCTCCTGAGCACTGGGCCATACACACTTGTTTAGACTGGAGTTGCACAGGAGTGCTGGGCTGTGCACACTTGTTTGCCGATGTAGGGTTGATAGGACTTGACTGCTTGTTGTCAATTTTAGTTTAGCAAGTGCACTGAAGCGTGGCTTGCTAGCTCTTTAATGCACGTCCTGGACAGAGAGGTCTCTGTGATGCAGCAGTGCATTTGGGCAGTGCCTGGCAGAGAACTGAGACAGATTTCTCGTTGCCTTGCTCCCCTTGATTATGACTTGGGGAATTGGTTTTGTTTTTGGCCTTCTGTGCTGCAGTACGTGGGACAAACAGACACACTCTGGGATGAAACCTCAGTGGAAGCATCTGTGTCAAAAGAAGAAGATATGAAGACTGGCCCAATGTGGGGTAAAATGCTGGCACCATTGAAATCAATGGCAAAGAGCCCACTGATGTCAGGGAGGGCCAGGATTTCACCCTGGAACTTTTGGGGACATATTATTTGGCTACGTTTTGAAATGAATCTCGTGGGCAATCTCTCTCCCCTAACTCGGGTGGGGGGGAGGGGTTGTGGATCGTTTGTATTGCGGAACCTTATCATTTTTTTATTGAGGAAAATAAAGTTTCTCATTTGTGCAACGTATCAAAAATGGCCTGTCTGGAGCCAAGGCTTTCTCTCATTTGACGCGTCTATTTCACAGTTTTCGTTCGGAAAAAGCTGAGCAACGGAACTGGAAGAAGGAATTCCCCGGATCTGGCAAAAGGAGCCATGGGACCTGCATGTTCTCAGCACCCTGGAGGCTGCAGTCACACCTGCCCAACAGCTGGCTTGGCACAAAGGGGCTGGAGGCCAGGGGTGAACTGCCTCCCAGGGAATTCCCCCATGCAAGTGGTCTCCACGTGCCCGATGCAGAGCCGGTTCCACCATCTCTACACCACCTCCATGGGAGCCCCAGGATAGGAGCATGTCAGGGGTGGGGAGCGGACAAATGCAAGTGGAGGTTTGGCCTGGGGATTCTTATGTCGTGGGTATTTTGTGACCGATAGGAGCCACTGAGGAAGGGGCACAGGGTAGCACACCCTCAGGGCTGTCCCAGCTTGCACTGGGGGCCACGACTGCCCCAGGACTGGGAGAGCCTGAGCCACCTTCCCTCCGTCCCTGAGCCAGCCTAAGTGCTGACACAGAGGTGTTCATGGGCGCTCCGTGTGCCGAGGGCCCATGAACGGGTGCTGGGCCCCAGTCAGGCAGGGAACCAGCTGTTCAGACCTGCTGGGGTATGTTTCCACATTATTACTTGACCTCCCCTTCAGCCTTGGGCAAGCCACATAACCTCGCTCTGCCCCCTCGCGTTTCCCTTGGGTCGGATGGGGCAAATGACCCGTCCCCGCCCCGGAGTGGGGCTGGCAGGCTCAGCCCATTAACATCTGTGAAGCTCTTTGAGATCCTCAGCAGGAAGAAACGTGCAAAGAGAGAAACAAATCAGGGGAAAGGGGAAAGGCAGGTCAAATTTGGGGCCCATCCGTCTTTACTGCTGCCTCTTTAAGCCCTCGGCTCACTGGGAGGGGCGGGATGTCACCGCAGCCCCCACCTTGCTTTGAGATGTGCAGGGGGGTGGTAAATCCTGGGCGAGGCTGCGGGCTGCTTCCTGGCATCCTCACAGCTTCCTGTCCTGGCAGGGGCCTTTGATCCCATGCCAGACTCTGTCCCTGGGAACGACTGACATTATGATTCCCTCCCCTGCCTGCCCAGAGCCCTCTCCCCTGCCTGCCCAGAGCCCTCTCCAGCCCAGCAGCGGCTACCCCTGAGGCTAAGATCTCCCCTGGGTTATGCTGATGATGGGATTGAGATCAGAGTGCAGAAAGGAGAGGCAAGGGCGGGCGAACCTGCCTGAGGGGAGGGCAGGCTGCTTCTCCCCAAAGCCAGGGTGCCTTTCATTAACCCTTAGCCACAGGAGACGGGCGGTAACCGAAGCAGTCCTCCCTCTCCGCCCTGCCCATCCCCCCCATGGCACTCCTTGGCACTTGGATGGAGCCTTCCACCTGTTGGGGGGCATCAGCTCTTGGGGTCGTGTTTGGGATGGTTCCCGCCTCACCTGCCCTGTGCTGCGTTTGTCCATTGCGGTCCTCCCTACCCAGACGTCTCGCGTTGCCACTGCCGGACGGAGCAACGGGGACAAAAGCTGAGCAGGAGATCGGCAACTGAACTGAAGAAATGACCTAGGTACAGAATTTCTGATCAACTCTTCTTCTTGTGAAAGGGAAAGAAAGGCACCCAATGCCATGGGGCGCCCACAAACAATTACCAGAGCCCTGCCTGCCCCAGCCTCACCCCCGCGGCAGCTGCTTCCCTGCACAAGTTGCATATTGAGAGTCGATGTGCCGAAAAAGGCACCGGGGAGGTACTCCCCAGATGCGGGTGTGGGAGGAGAAAAGGGGACGTGGCAACCCTCTGTGTGAATGCAGTAGCCCCACCCACTCGAGTCCCGACTCTTCTCCGCCAGCCACAAAGTAGCAGCAGATCTTACCTACAGATCCCTTGCTCAGAGTTCGTATGAAAATGCAGTTGTGGTCATGAAAAGGAGCATAGCTATGTAAAAACAGCCCCTTCTTACCTATCAGATTTGCTCCACCGGGGTAGCCCAGAGTCCTATCTGCGGTAGATGGTGGGAAATATATGCTTTATTCCCATGAGCCCAGCAGAGCAAATACAGCTGTCGAGGAGGGGGGTTGGAATTTGTTCTTTCACCATCAACCGAACGCTTGAACTATTGCGGTCGTTGATGTGGGAGAAGGAAAGAACCCAGATCCCACGAGGAAGGGCAGCACTGAAGTGAGTGCTTTTGGACCGTCCCTTTTCGGAGCAGAACCAAATGTAAGGGGAGGCCACAGCAGCCGCTTCTCCGGATTCAACGTCAAGCGTCTTAGGAGGAAAGTCTCCCCAGCCCAGCGACGTGCAATTCCCATCCCTTTGTGGCTAAGACTCGGGAAGACAGATGGTTTTGTTAGCCACCCATGCGTAAATGGCTAGATACAGAAACTTGTCCATAACACCCACTCCCATTTCATTATTGCTCACCACGGAAGAGACCTAGACACTATCAGCCATGGAACAGACACACCCTTCTTCAGAACACAACAGGGTTGTATTAAATAATAAACAGAAAGGGTCGGTCGCTTTTATTTCCCAGGCTCGTCTTGCACTGTCTAGGGCGGGTCTCTACGCTTTCCTGACATGGATGGATACACTGGTTTGGTTTAGGGGGTGCTGGCCCAAATGCAAGAGGAGGTGCCTATCTCCTCATCTTCAAGGATTGTTGTAGCTTTCAACCACCTCTCAGCTGCGATATATAAGAAGCCACAAACCTGCGGTTTGGTGAATAAGAACCAGTTAAAAAAGGACTCCTCCTGGCCCAGATCTGATTTCCATCCCAGTCCTGCCGGAATCAGAGAGCCGGCTACGTGACACCCAGCTTGTTGTGGCAGGATCACGTGCATAGGAATATACAAAGCTTCTGCCTAAGACCCTCTTAGCCTGATTTGCTCGGTGATGCAGCCACGACTTTTAACCAGGAGGCTTTGCTGCCCTGGAATCCCCCCTTTTTTTTCTGAACCGATGTTAGCAAATGATGTCGAGGGGACAGGAACTACTATTGGAGGAGGAATGAGCAGATGGGCCGTGGCTAGTAATGCTCTTAGATCCGAAAGTCAAAGGTGGGAACCATCAAGAAGTGGTTGATGTAACTTACCCGCGGATAGGGTGGAAAGGGTGTCAGCAAGGGTGGCACCATTCTAGTCGGAGACATAGAATCAACTACATCTCCCCCTATGGCGTGTAAGTTACGACCCACTCTGCCTTATCAATGTGTCAGTGATCCCAGTGTTTATATCACCTCTGGCTTTGATCTCCCAGTAGAAAACATACAATCCTTTCCAGCTGGCCTAAGAGCAGAGACTCGTCCCTGGTGCCAGACCTCCCCGCAGGTCGCAGCACAGTCCTGCGTCCCATGGGATTTGGGACCAGCCCATGGGATTACCGAAGGGATTATGTTGGGAGTCATGTCACAACGCCATTGATGTCACGCCATGTAACAACGATGCAGCCAAGCGCCGAGGCCATGGCGTGATGTTAAGAGGCAGACATGACTGCGTGGCCACTCTGTGAGCCGGTATGCGGCAGATGCTGGGAAACTGGCAGTGCATCTTTTACAGAAACACAGCGAAGCTCCTGGGGAGGAGGAGATGGAAACAGGAAGAAAGCCCCTGTCCAAGACCCCTACTTGCTTCTTTGGCTGGGAATATTTTGTGTGTGTAACTGACCGACCTGCATGAAAGGTACAAAGTTGGGCGTGTGCACGAACACACACGCACATCTACTCTCTCTTAACCTCCAGTGCAGCTGCGAAGCTACCCCCAAAGTGTATGACATACCGGCGCGTCCGGCTCACCGGGACAGCGTGGGGTGAGGTTAGAAGTGCAGCGGGGTGCGTAGCCCAGGTATTTATCTAGGGCAGGGCGTGGGCAGGGAGATGTGCTAAGAGGACACTAGGTCCACCTGTCAGTCCAGAGAGGTATAAATAGAGAGATGCAAACATAGACGGGATCTGCCTGTACCAGAGCCGATCCGATGCGCACCCCTCCGTCGGCTGTTTCAAAAGCTATCCGTGTATTCGCTTCAAGTTTCACATTTCATGGAGTTGTTGCAAAATGATGCAAAAGAGTTTCTCAATGAAAGGAGCATAAGAGACAGCTTACCAGCTTCCACGTGTGTCTACATCTGTAGCTATACGTCCATATACGCACGCACAGACACACTCGTCTGCACGCACATTTGCGCAGCCAACATACTCCCCGTCTCTCGGGCTGTCCCTTTTGGAATCGGTCTGTTGAATCTCAATAAAATCTGACCGTTTTCCTTCACCCGGTTCTGCTGGTCTCCATAAGTTTCCTCTCTATATTAAAAACGAAGGGTCCTCAGTGTTGTGTGTGCATGGTGGGGGCGGGGGGCGAGGGGCGGGGGAGTTACACAGAGCTGCGGCGCTTCATGAGTCCCTGCAAGGCCGAGAGGCTGTGCAGTCCCGTGGAGACGGAGCTGATGGCCGAGCGCTGGGCGTTGCAGAAGCATCTGTTGGAGGGGGTGTCGGGGTAGCGGCTAGGCGAGGAGTGGCTCTGCTCCACGCACGTGTCCGAGGTGGACAGGTCCCTGGGGATGATCATAGGGATGGAGTACTGCAGCTTCTCCCGGCTCTTGTACCACAGGCATGAGCACATGGACTGGAAGTGGAGCACCTCCGCGTAGACGTTGCGGAATCCGCCCCCGCCCCCGCCGCCCCCTCCCACCGCGGTGGTGGACGAGGTGGTGTCCGTGGTGTGCACGCTGCTGGCCTGCCCGTTGTGGGTGAGCAGCGCTCGGTGCTCGGCATCCCGCTTCTCGTCCTCGGCGTTCATGGTCATGAAGCGCAGCACCACCAGGTTGAGGAAGGCCCCGATGACGGTCAGCCCCGTCAGGATGTAGACGAAGCTGAAGGCCACATACTGGGGTTTGGTCTGCAGCGCCTCGTCCTTCTGGAGTGCCACGTAGTCCCCGAAGCCGATGGTGGTGAGGGTGATGAAGCAATAGTAGTAGGCATGGAAGAAGCTCCAGTGCTCATAGTAGGAAAATGCCGCGGCCCCAATGCACAGGGTGCTGATGCAGGAGAAGAACCCAATAGTGACCATGTTGGCCATGGACACCTCCGTCCGTCTCATGCCAAGGCACTTCTTGATGCGGTGCAGAAGGTATTTGACGAAGGTGTTGATCCTCTCACCCAGGCTCTGGAACATGACGAGTGTGAGCGGGATCCCCAGCAGGGCGTAGAACATGCAGAAGACTTTCCCACCGTCTGTGCTTGGGGCTGCATGGCCGTACCCTACGGACCATAAATACAAAGCACATTGCCTGGTTAGTACACTCCAAACCCTACTCTCTTCCCACCTTCCCCTTCCTTAGCTATTGTTTAGGGGTACCCAGATTGGCCATACCAATGGATACCCCTATGGAACAAACTACCAATGGAAGTGGTGGATTCTCCATATCTTGATGGCTTCATGGCTGCCTTTCTGGAAGATGCTGTAAGTCAAACACAAGTTACTGGGCTCAATGAAGACATAACTGGGTGAAATTCTCTGGTCTTGATATACAGCTCAGACTAGAGGATCTAACGGTCCCTTCTGGTCTTAAACTCTGTGACTCAACGAATCCTTTCTGCAGGATATTACTATTATTTATCTTTATTATGGAAGCTCCTAGAGACCTCAACCAAGATCAGGACCCCATTGTGCTGGGCACTGCACAGATACACAGAAAGAGGCAGTCCCTGTCCCAGAGAGATTACAATCTACACAGACAAGACAAAGGGTGGGAGAAAAGACAAATGCACAGTGCCTAAGACATCTGCTGCTGCGGTACTTGCAGCTTCTTCAAGGGATGATTAGGAATTGCTTCTGGACTGAGTCCAACAGCAATAAAAACCTGCAGCTGATCAGCTTTATCTTCATCCTGCAGTTACAAGAAATAATTACAGATGGTTTTACAGACTAAGAGGATAGCATGACCTCAACAAACAAACAAACAAACAAAAAAGGAAAAGAAAAAGAAAGAACATATAAAGCCCCTGGCATGATCAAAAGCCAGCAGAGGATCAGAAGACCTGGGTTCCAAGAGATTCACGGACCTTTAGGGACTGTACTGCTGCCTCTGGCTTGTAGGAAAAGGTTTGCTAGTAATCAGTTGCTCTGATCCGAGAGATGGGCCAGGACCAAACCCTCGAAGCTCACCATCCCCTACCTTTGTTTGAATACTAGGTTGTCTTAGAACACAGCCTTGAGGAATCACGTTAACTAACTTTAGACACAACAAATCTTGCATCTCGGCAGGGGGTTAGACTAGACGGCCCTTGTGGTCCCTTCTAGCCCTATGGTTCTATGATTCTAACCTGGGGTGAAACACTGGCCCGGCTGAAGTCAAAGGCAGAACTCCCACTGACTTCAGTAGGGCCAGGATTTCACCCACACGACTGGCACTCAGTGTGGATGGGTGCCGGGGCATTTAACATCATGTCAGTGGGTGGTGATCTGGTTAACTCTATGGTTCTAGTAGGCTTTACCCATGAGCAGCTGACACAGTGTTAAACATCACGGTGCCTGTCTACACTGACAACGAAGTCATGTTTAACCTCTTAGGTAATGTGACTTTTGAAGGTCATGGCCTCATTATCTAGTGAAGACAAGCAGGAGATTGGATCCAAATTTGGGTCTGAACTTGACATTTCACCCCTTATCTAATGCTGAACTGAACCCCTGGATCTAAACGTCCCTCAAAATTCTGGAGAAGGGCCCATCCAGATGACTGGGGATGGATCACTCACTTATTACCCTGTTCTGTTCATTCCCCCTGTAGCAGCTGGCATTGGCCACTTTCAGAAGACAGGATACTGGGCTAGAGGGGCCATAGGTCTGCTCCAATATGGCCGTTCTAATGTACTTCTTGTCCTACCTTCAGTGGACATGTCGAACAATTGATCACCATCCTCTCTAAAACAGCCCAGAACAGATGTGAAGACTGTTATCGGGTCCCCCCTCAATCCTCTTGTCTCAAGACTAACCAGGTCCAGTGTTTTTAACCTTTCCTCATAAGTAAGGTTTGCTAAACCTTGGATCAGTTTTGTGCTCTCCTCTGGACTCTCTCCAATTTGCCCACATCTTTCCTAAAGTGTGGCACCCAGAACTGGACACAGTGCTCCAGCTGAGGCCTCCCCAGTGCTGAATAGGGCGGGACACTTACCACCCTCATCTAACATACGACACGCCTGTTAATACACCCAAGATGGAGCCTTTTTCACACCTGCATTACATGGTTGCCGCATGTTCAGTTTATGATCCACTGTCACCCCCAGATTCTTACAACACACATAAGTTATGGCAGAACAAAGCCAAGAACCGAGCGGGCCATTGAGTTGCCTGTTTCTGAGGAGGTGGGAGGAGGGCTAGTGGAGGAGGTGGAGTTTGAAGGCAAGTGCAAAGGGAAAAGGTAGACTTCCCCCAGGCATGAGCGAAGGCGTGAAAGTGTGTGTGAGAGGAAGGGATGAAGAGGTGCAGACCGAGCAAGGGCAGGAGCGGGAGGAAATGAGATGGGTGACATAGAGCGGGGGTTGGGGTGGGGTGATGGTCTTCAAGGTGAGGCCGAAGAGCTGGAGACGAAGAGAGTCCAGGGTTGTAGCAGTGGTGAGAAAGGCACCAACAGGGTGGGTGGCCAGGCTGAAAAGCCAGAGAGAAGGTTAAACTGATGAAGGCAGAGACAACCAATGGTCCCTTCTGATGATCCCGATGGTCCCCTCTGACCTTAAAGCCTATGAGTCCTTGAATTTAGCCAAGGGGTAAGACAAGGGTGGGGAAAAACTCCATCAGCCCAGCATGTTCTCTCTCCATCTCCCCTTCTCCTGCCTGCATCCTGGCTCCCTTGAAATGCCCATCAATTCCTCTGAGGGTGAGCTCTCTGGAGTGGGGACGGGCATCTTTGTTACTTGCCCACCCAGCCTCCAATGCATGGGAGCTCTGCCCTGGGCTGGGGTTCCTAGACACTGCCTCGGTGAGAATGTGGGGCAGTCGGGGGCACCTGTGCAGTGCCCCCGGGGATATAATGTTCACGCAAAGCCCCTGAATCCATCCAGATTTCAATTAATCTGTTTTCTCCACGGTACAAACCACGTGCCAAATTCTGGTAAAAGGCCTTATTCCTTATGACTGCCACCCGTATCTGTATCCAGTGGAGCCTGCGGGCTCGGCAGAGCCTTTGTGGGAAATGTGCTTGACTCAGAGATTTGGCAGGGATCAAAGAAACCTGGTAACAGTCTGCTCCTTCCTGACTGAGTATCCTGGCCATTGGTCTCTGCAGAAGCCCATGATACACCTCCTCCCCGTTTATAATGCTGTATGGACACCATGCACACAGAGAGGGAGCTGCGATTTAACAGGGGGTTTCTTGCGCCCATATCATACCTTGTCAGTCTTTCAGCTTTCTCATTACGTCACAGCTAGCAAGGGCAGGTTGGAGGGGGCGACTTAGGGGTCTGAGCTGCAGGTTTGAACTCTTGGAGCCACAAGGTGGCTTGCCCCATTTGCTGGACAGCCTGGGGCTAGGCCAGCCTGAGCCCGCCACCCTGAGGGGAATCAGGCACTTGGCCATTAAGAGAAGCAGGTGGCTGCACTAACGAGGGAGAGCCAGGCTAAGCAGTGATAAAGCCCAGGAGGGAGGCTCTTATCCAGGTAGAAGCTCAGCACAAGAATGAAAGCTGGGGGGGACTCCAAGCCAAGCGAGGACAAGGTCTCCAGGCACAGTGCCCTGGGAGAGACCCTGACCAAGAAAGGAGGAGAAGGAAGAGGAAGCTGAGAGTCTCGGTAGAAAGGGACCTGGGTGAACTACAGAACAGGTGGAGGAATCATAGAATCCTAGAAGATCAGGGTTGGAAGGGACCTCCGGAGATCATCTAGTCCCACCCCCTGCTCAAAGCAGGACCGATCCCCAACTAAATCATCCCAGCCATGGCTTTGACAAGCCAGGCCTTAAAAACCTCTAAGGATGGAGATTCCAGCACCTCCCTAGGGAACCCATTCCAGTGCTTCATCACCCTCATAGTGAAATAGTGTTTCCTAATATCCAACCTAGACCTTCCCCACTGCAACTTGAGACCATTGCTCCTTGTTCTGTCATCTGCCACCACTGAGAACAGCCGAGCTCCATCCTCTTTGGAACCCCCCTTCAGGAAGTTGAAGGCTGCTGTCAAATCCCCCCTCACTCTTCTTTTCTGCAGATGAAATACGCCCAGTTCCCTCAGCCTCTCCTTGTAAGTCATGTGCCCCAGCTCCCTCATCATTTTCATTGCCCTCCACTGGACTTTCTCCAATTTGTCCACATCCTTTCTGTAGGGGGGGCCCAAAACTGGACGCAATACTCCAGAAGTGGCCTCACCAGTGCCGAATAGAGGGGAACGATCATGTCCCTCGATCTGCTGGCAATGCTTCTACTAATGCAGCCCAATATGCCATTGGCCTTCTTGGCTACAAGGGCACACTGCTGACTCATATCCAGCTCGTCCACTGTCACCCCTAGGTCCTTTTCTGCAGAACTGCTGCCGAGCCATTCGGTCCCTAGTCTGTAGCGGTGCATGGGATTCTTCCGTCCTAAGTGCAGGACTCTGCACTTGTCCTTGTCGAACCTCATCAGATTTCTTTTGGTCCCATCCTCCAATTTGTCTCGGTCACTCTGGACCTTATCCCTACCCTCCAGCATATCTACCTCTCCCCTCAGCTTAGTGTCATCTGCAAAGGATGGAGGAGTGGAGTTAGCTGTTCAGTATAGGGACCCAGAGTAGAGGGTGAGCCAGAAGCGGTGGACGTGAGATGGTGACCCCACTGAGGGGGGGCTGAGTCACCAGAAGTCACAGCCCCAGAGCACCCATCCACCAGGCGGCCCTACGGAAAGGACAGAGCTGCCATGCCATGCCTGGCCACGAGGGGGTGGCTAGCGGTGAGTGGATTTGTTTACAGTGAGCTGGCGGCTGTCTCCCACCCCAGAGTTGGCTGCATTTCCAGAGTTGGCTGCATATGTAGCTCCAGAGTGGTGCTGAGATGGAAGGTTCGACGGGGTGAGTTATCGGCGGTGCTGAGCTCCCAAACTCCCATTGAACCTGACTCCAAGTGGTTTGAAAATCAGGCCGTAGGTGCCTTGAAAGTGTCATTAACAGAACAGCCCAACGGTGGTGGGTTATGGCTCACCTGCCTCAGGGCATAAGATCGCAACCAGCTCGGATCAGGAAGAACTTCTCCCGCATCTGACAGGGCTGCCCTCATTACTGGTATCTCCCACGCAGCC